GGAGCTGGAGCTGAGAATTAAACTGAGGAATTCTAATATGTGTCTTTACTGCTGGGCTAATTGCTTATTCCCGTTTCAGGGTTATGATCACTATTTAAATGAAATCACATTATAGTCGATCAAAATGCGTGGGTAAAAATAGAATTAACAGTTAAATTCGGGCCGGTATTGTAGCATAGTGGGTAAAACCACCTCACGCAGTACTAGCATCCCATATGGACGCCAGTTCATGTCTCGGCTGCTCCACTTCTGATCCAGCTCCCTGTTAATGGCCTGAGAAAAGCAGCGGAAGACAGCTCAAGTGTTTGGGTGTGTGCCACCTGCATGGGAGACCCAGATAAACCTCCTGGCTCCTGGCCTCATCCTGGCTCAGTTCTGACTGTTGTGGCCACTTGGGGAGTGAACCAGTGGATGGATGATCACTCTCTCTCTCTCTCTCTCGCTCTCTCTGTCTTTCCCCCTTTCTCTGTAAGTCTGACTTTCAAATAAATAGATAAATCTTTAAAAAAAAGAATTAAATTCAATTTTGTGCAAAAAAAATTTGGAATCTATACATAGTTTTTTGTGATATGCATTTTCCAGGAACGTTTTGAAGACCCCTGGTACTGGTGTTATATTCACTAGCTGACCTCACAGCCATGTTACCCTGCAGAAACTGCCATGTGACCTGGAAGGAGCGCCCTGCTCTCTTGCTGTCTCTTTGTAAAAGAGAAAACCTTTTGTATTAAATAAACAAAAATTGTCTCATTAGCTGGAATTTCATCAAAACCCCATTCACAGAGCAATGGCTGGTAATAATGCAACGGCCATTATTTCCTGGGAGTCCACATGACTACATGGAAGAACACAGGTGACTCAAACAGAATTGGAGTTTTATTAGAATTAAGTAAAGATGTTGGTTGGGGGGCAGCACTGTCTGTCAAAGATTCCAACTAGAAACCTGAAATCAGCAGGTTTAAAGCATAATTAGATGGTGAAAATGAGAGTCATTTCTCTTAAGGTTGGAAACAAAAAGAGACTGCCAATGTCATTATTATTCCACTTCCTACTAACGAGCCTGGCAGTTCGTTCATAGTGCACACTATGAATGGCCATTGAGGGCTGCATACATACGGGAAATCCAATAATAAGAAAGTCTCTGGATCTGCTCTGTAGTGGAGATTACAAAGCTGGAATCAATACAAAACAACTACAGGTTATTCTAAAAAACATGAGGAAGACAGAAAGCTGAGGAAGTGAAAGACAGGACTTTCCTCAGATAGAGAGATCAGAGAGTTGTCACTGGGAGTCGTCTAAACTGAGAGCTAAGGATGAGCAGGAGGGTCCGGCTACAGAAAGAGCAGAACCAACAGAATTCTAGGAAGAGGAAATCACACAAGCAAAAGCCAAAAAGAGTTCAGATCGTGGAACTGAAAGACGTACGTGGCTGGGACGTGGAGAACAAGATGCTTAGGGACGTGGGTAAAGACGGAAAGGACCAGGAGTGGTACGGCAGCTGCCTGCAGAGAGGGGAAGAGGTTGTCGTGGGGATTAGGAATTTGACTTCTGTTGGGTGTTCTGTGAGACTCCAAAAGGAGTCCACAGCAGTGGAAATACCAGTGAACTGGAGCCAGCACTGTGGTGCAGTGGGCTAAGCCTCTGCCTGCGGCGCTGGCATCCCGTATGGGTGCTGCTTTGTGTCCTGGCTGCTCATCTTCCTAATCCAGCTCTCTGCTATGGCCTGGGAAAGCAGTGGAAGATGGCCCAAGTCCTTGGGCCCCTGCACCTGCTTGGAAGACCCAGAAGCAGCTCCTGGCTCCTGGCTTCGTATTGGCACAGCCCCAACCATTGTGGCCATCTGGGGAATGAACCAGTAGATGGAAGACCTTTCCCTCTGTCTCTCCCTCTCTCTGTAACTCTACCTCTCAAATAAATAAAATCTAAAGAAAAAGAAATAGCAATAAGGCTCAAGAACAAGTTGTAACAATAGAACGGATGGAGAGAAGAACTGTTTGGGGAATGAGCTTCCTGCCCCTGACAGTACTTAATCCAACGTTGAGAGACAAGAGAGCTGCTGCTTTCAACACCCGGGAGCTCAGCCTTGCAAGGAAAGTGAGACGAGATGCTTCGAACGGCCCTTCCAGCGCTGCTTCGGAGGCTCCAGGAAACGCGCTGTCCCTGCTGTCACTGGAAAGCTTATGCAATACCGTGTGGATTTGAAATGCTGACACAGGCAGTTCTATGCTGGCCCTGCCTGTGTGCTCTGGCACAGGGAATGGAGTGTCGCTGCGGCTTGCTCAAGGCGCTCCCTCATTATTGAGTCTGTCCAACCCAGTTTCCCGCTACAGTCATTCTCCTGACCTTGGTGGTGAGCCAGAGAAATGTACAGATCACCCCAGCTGCTTCTAAGTCAACCAAGAGCGAAGCTGAATATCCTTAGGATCATAGCTAACATTTATCAAATGTTCAGTTTTTTTTTTTTTCCAACAACATTCCCCACGTTTCCATTTTCTACTTAGACATAAGTGACTCAGAGGCTGTTTGGTTCCTAGGTTTTATTGCAGAACAAAGCAGTTCCAAAGAGAATGCAGAATTGCTCTACACCTAGCTCTTGCTGAGGGTTTGGTATGGATCTTGGTTTCTCAGCTTGTCAACATCTGCAAAACCCTCCCAGACTTGTCTTGTGGTGTATCTTGCTACGAAGTTGCTAGATCACTAGATACCTGATGTTTATGATTAGTAACAATAAGCTTAGAGCTGCCTGCTTGCATGTGTGTGTGTGTGTGTTGCCACTAATTTTTTCCAGTTCCAAGATATTTATAAAGCATTCTTTACATTGCCCATAAAAATGCACAATGAAATTTTCCTGACATTCTGCACAAGCTTATAAAAAAATGTCACGGCCGCATGCACAGCCTGCAACTCTGTCCTGCAATTATGGTTTGCAATAACTCTGGATGTCTTGGGCCAAGAAGGGATTATGAGCTGATCTTCAATGGTCTGACACTTCAGCAGTGGAAAAGCAGTTGCCCAAATGCCAATTTGCAAAATCCCAACCCAGCCCAAGCCAGACAGTGAGCACTTTGAAGGGGAAACAGATTTCAGTGGCCATATGTGCAATTATTATTCATCCCATGATGACTGAATAAAGACATGTGTTGGCCTGTGTGGACCCCGATGTGCTGTAGCCAGGACGGACTGATTGCACTTAACTCCCACACACATGCTTGTCCCACCTGCCCCAGAATCCAGCTCCAGAATGATCCCAAGAAGAGAGGCATTGTTAAGAGGCTTCTGGCCAGAATCACAAAGTAAATATGTTCGAGTTAAATGGAAACGCATAGCCATTTCCCTTGACAGTGAGATGTGGGTCCATCCCCATGGCTGCATCTCCAAACCTTGGCTTTTGTCTATTTCCCCATCTCCCTATCCTCCTCTATGCTCCTCTATGTCAGTTGCATGCAACCTTTGACACTTCAGTCTTTTTTTTTTCATTTGACAGAGTTAGACAGTGAGAGAGAGAGACAGAGAGAAAGGTCTTCCTTCCATTGGTTCACCCCCAAAATGGCCGCTGTGGCCGGTGCTGCACCCATCCGAAGCCAGGATCCAGGTGCTTCCTCCTGGTCTCCCATGCGGGTGCAGGTGCCCAAGCACTTGGGCCATCCTCCACTGCCTTCCTGGGCCACAGCAGAGAGCTGGACTGGAAGAGGGGCAACCGGGACTAGAACCCAGTGCACATATGGGATGCCAGCGCCGCAGGCAGAGGATTAGCCAAGTGAGCCACGGTGCTGTCCCCAACACTTCAGTCTTTTGTTAAGGCAGGAACCCTGCAGAAAGCTCACTCTGGTTTCACACCAGCTATGGCAATACCTACACAAACTGATGAGCCAGATTCAGGGAGTTGTGTCCTACTGCTGCTCACCAAATCTGGCTGAACACCAGGTCTACTCTGCTTTAAAAAAAATAGATTTGGCAGGCGCCGCGGCTCACTAGGCTAATCCTCCGCCTAGCGGCGCCGGCACACCGGGTTCTAGTCCCGGTCGGGGCGCCGGATTCTGTCCCGGTTGCCCCTCTTCCAGGCCAGCCCTCTGCTGTGGCCAGGGAGTGCAGTGGAGGATGGCCCAGGTGCTTGGGCCCTGCACCCGCATGGGAGACCAGGAAAAGCACCTGGCTCCTGGCTTCTGCCATCGGATCAGCGCGGTGCGCCAGCCGCAGCGCGCCGGCTGCGGCGGCCATTGGAGGGTGAACCAACGGCAAAGGAAGACCTTTCTCTCTGTCTCTCTCTCTCACTGTCCACTCTGCCTGTCAAAAAAAAAAATAGATTTATTTATTTAAGAGGCAGAGTTACAGAGTGAGGGAGAGACAGAGAGAGAGAGAGATATCTTCCATCTGCTGGTTCAATCCCCAAATGGCTGCAATGGCTGGAGCTGGGTTCACCTGAAGCTAGGAGCTTGCTCTGGGTCGCCCATGTGACTGCAGGGGCCCAAGCACTTGAACCATCTACCATGGCTTTTCCAATCCACTAACAAGGAGCTGGATCAGAAAAGGAGCAGCCCGGACCCAAACCAGCTCCCATATGGGATGCCGGCACCACAGGTGGAGGCATAACCTACCGTGCCACAGAGCCCGCCTCTCTGTCCTTTTCTCTTTGTCTCATCTTGGATTAAAAGATGAACAAAGCACTGTCATTCCTATTACTGTTGCTCCCTGTTCCTAATGAGCTCACCACATCCCCAAATTATGCCAGATCTCCCCCGGCATCTTCAAAGCATCCCGAATTCTGATCCCATCCATCCGCATGTCAACAAGAATACGCAACAGGGGGAATCATGGACAAGAGCTGGCTCTGATAGCAACCACAGCTGTGGATTTGTAGATAAGTTATACATTATCCAAACTTCAAAAACAAAAACAGAATCTATGATTGGTAGGAAGAACCTCAAAGTACACTGAGCAGGAAATTCACACAGCAACTACTTTCCACACCAGGTAATTGCTTGTAATTCTAGACGCATACATACCTGGAGCCCAGCTGCGGGCAACATCTTCGGTTCCACACCGTGTATCCATTTCCCACTGATGGACGTGGCTTCCCCTTCCAGTCACTCACTCACCCACTCACTCAGTAAGCATTTGTTGAGCTTATGCTAAGTCCCAAGCATTGTCCTAAAGAAACAGAGACATGGGGATGAAAAGAAGACAGAGGATGCCCGGATGCACGAAGTCAGGGTTCTGCAAAGCTCGCCCGTGAGCTGATTGGCCACAGGACTCATTGTCAATCACGTTCAATGATCTCAGTGCCTTGTCTGAATACCGAGTGCAAGTCCCCATGGAAGGAAGTTAGGAAAAACCATCTTTGAAGGCTGCAGAAAACCCACCGTTTAGCACATGCTGCCTCTGAAGAAAGAGCAGAGATTCCACAGAAAGTTGTTCTCCCCCTCCTGGGTCTCACGCTCCTTGAGGGAATACTCTGAGAGGTTTTAAAAGTTCTTCCAAGGAACTCTGCTACTTGGCGACAGCCTGCCTTAGTCATCATCTGTCGCTGCAACTGAAAACTACAGACTCGGTCATTCACGATGAACAGCAATGTGGGGAGCGCATTCCTGTCTCTGGAGGAAGGAGAGTCCAAGAGCCTGGGGTAGCCTCCGGTGGGGGCTTCCTGCCGGGTCCTCACACAGGGCAGGGCATCTCATCGCGGGTTGGATCAGCTCAGCTCTCTCTTTCTCCTCTTACCATGGAAGTTCCCCATTCATAACCACATCTAATTCTATTCCCCAGTGGCCTCACCTCAAGCTACCACTAACACCTGAGTTGGGGGATTAAGTTCCCAACACACGAACTTGTGTAAGGACACATTGAAACTTTAGCATAATCGCAGCCTTTGGTGCAGCCATGGGACACCTGATAGTGGGATCTTACTCTAGTGCACTGAGAAAGTGAGGATCGACAATATAAAAGCCATTTAGGTTTGTTTCATACATAAAGTTCCTCTTTCAAAGCAGGAATAATATATTTGCATTCCCTTCTAAGCCTACAAAATTGTGAGATATTCCTACGAAAAGACAAAAATGCTATAATATTCTGGCCACTAAGATGAATTTTAACCCAAATCAATTGCACTTACTTAACTCCTTGACTCCTTTCTGGGCTCGGAAGAAAGCTGTTCCAAGGAGGGATGGGGATCATCCCCAAAAGCTTATTGTCTTATTGGAAAAATCAAGCTTCTCCTTTATAGTCTCTCCTCTGCACAGCTGCTATAAAATTTTCCCACAGTACGTCCTGTAAACCACTTGGGAGGCTTGATCCCAAGTAGGCTACCTTTGCCTCCAAGCTCATTGTCCCTCGTGTTCCAGGAAACTCACCCAAATGTAGACTCTTGGCCGTGCCCTGGGACAGTGTGACCTTAGTTGACTTTTTCATTGCCCTTCCACCTGCAACGCTTGGCTTCAGTTGGGAATTCTGCAGGCTCCAACACCGAATCTTTTCTCTAAATATCAAACAAACAAATCAAAACAACTTTTCGGTCACTGCAGGTTGTTTTCTAGGATGGGGTACTTGGAGGTTGTTGTCACAGTAGTTCTATAAAAGCCACATTGTTACAACACATCTATGACTAACCTTGTTAACATTCCTCTTGTCCCTCAAGTTTGTTTTTGTAAACAATTTGTAATTCTCCATGGAAATGGATGGGGTGGGAGGGCTGAAGACCATGAATCAGAGCTGTCAACTGTTAATATTTTCTGCAATTCCTTTCTCAACTCCTGCTTTGAGCAGAGGAATTGACTCTTTGGTGCCTTCTTTCTCTGCCTGTCCCCATGTCTCCGGTATAGATACACAACAAACCAAGAAGGGCTCTAGTGCAGTTGCAGAAGTGGAAAGGATAAGATTCAGAGAAACTGATCATTGCCCGGATATCGTCAATATTATCAAGGCTTTCTGATATCGGAGGAAGTAGGACTAGAATAAGAGGTGTGTTACATCCTCAAGGTTTATTGAGGTAGAGTGCTCTTTATTATTTTTTCCATTTTAAATATTATTTATAAAACAAGAAACAGGACAGGTGTTTGGTACAATAGTTAAGATTCCAGTTAAGACACCCACGGAGTACCTGAGTTCGACAGCCACTTCCACCTTCTAACTCCAGCTCCCTGATAATACAGATCTTGGAGAGCAGGGGTGATGGCTCAAGTAATTGGGTCCCAGGTTCAACACTTGCATTCAGTTCCCAGCTCCAGTCTTTAACCTGGTCCAGCCCTGGCCAAAGTGAACCAGCAAATAGCCCTGCCTCTCTCTTCCTCTCCATATCCCTCTCCTCCTTTCCCTCTCTCTATTCCTCTGCCTCTTAGGTAAATTTCAATAAGTAAACACAAGAAACACGTATTACTTTAATTTCCATAGAGATGAATGTGAACAGAAATCCAGACCTGATCTGGTCATCAGATGGTCATTCATTCTAGCACCAGCTGTGTCAATCAATACAGGGTTAACTCATCTGAATCTCTGTGATGGTGCTGATACTCTGTAATGCACTGCACAGGGTGCTCTCCCCTCATCAGCGAACAACAGGAAGTTGGACCCTCAGCAAAGTCAAGGGCACAGTGTGGACAGGTAGACTCCATGGGCCTCTGTCTTCATCCATGCATGCACTGGTCTCCCGCTCTACCAGGTGGTTGCTGTCCTGTTGGCTCTGAGAATCTGTGAGTAATTCCCGGAGCTTTCTGGATCTGTGAGCTCCTCTTCTGGGACATGGAAGCCATTGAACCATGACAAGAGATGCTCTGATGTCCCCAGGCAGCCCCAGTCTCTGCACACACCTGGGACTGTGCACACAGCCTAAATTTCACACAAAATCTGCAACTGGGGCCCCGAGAATCACCTGTACCCCCTTCCAACTGACTGTGAAGGCCTACCCTGCGTTTCTTTTCCAAATGAGCCTGCACACCCTGTTGGGGATAGCTGACTCAGAAAAGAACTGTAAGCTCAGACTGAGGAAGGTATGGGTGTCAGAATTTTCTACATCCTTCAAGTGAGTCCAACTCCAAACTTGGATAGAAAATCATTAAAGATTAAAAGAAAGAGAAAGAAATGTCTGTGTAATGATGGTTTGGATTATGTTCCACTGAAAATAATAGTAACTTAATTATAGTGGATTAAGCAAATAAGGCCTTGTTTTTCTCTCAAAAGTATCCTATGTAGGCATCCAGTGACACAGACATAATCTCTCTTTCCATTCCATCATCATGCGACTTTTGGCTCTTAAATATGTTGCCTTATGCTGATAAGAGGACTACTCGAACTCCAGCCTCAATACTGTATTCCAGGTAGCAGAGTATGATGAAATGGAGGGAAGGTTGGGGCCAGCGCTATAAAGCCCTGGCCTGCAGTGCTGGCATCCCATATGGGCACTGGTTCTAGTTCCAGCTGCTCCTCTTCCAATCCAGCTCTCTGCTATGGCCTGGGAAAGCAGTGGAAGATGGCCCAAGTGCTTGGGCCCCTGCACCCGCATGGGAGACCCAGAAGAAGCTCCTGGCTCCTGGCTTCGGATTGGCAGAGCTCCAGCCATTGTGGCCAACTGGCGAGTGAACCAGAAGATGGAAGACCTCTCTCTCTCTCTCTCTCTGCCTCTCCTTCTCTCTCTGTGTAACTCTGACTTTCAAATAAATAAATGAATCTTAAAAAAAAAGAAAAATAAATAGAGGAAAGGTTAAAAAAAAACAAAATGGAAGGGAAAAGAAGAAAAACCAAAGAATTTCCTAGAAACCCTTAGCAGAAGGCTATCCCTCATTATCCAGAATTCTGTCAACAAACCATCCCTAGCTTCAGTGCAAATCACACACACACACACACACACACACACAGACTGCTTCATTTGCTTACACCCCCATTCTGACCAATATTGCTTGCATGCTAGTGAGAAAGTGGGAACGAGGAAGCAGCCAGAGATGTCTGACACGTAGAGACAATTTCCGATGGAGAGTTCACAGACAACATGTCCACCTACAGCTATCTGTAGCTGTTATTCAGGGATTCTAATTGCAGATGCCAATTTCCTTGTGCTATCAAACATTTAACTCTGTTAAAACCATCTGAAAAATGTTCATATTTGGCCCATGTTTGGTACCTTGAGACCTTCATCTGCATATGCTGGTTTTAACCCAGCCGTCCTCCAAAACAGCAGTACTGTGGATTATTGAGTTAAAAGGAAGTGCCAGGCATACCTTATATTAGAACCAGTGAATTCCGCCAAAACATGGAAAGAATGTATGGAATGAGCCATGAGAATGAAACAAATGGTTCTGCTCTATGTGCAATGTCGTGAGAACTGCTCCGGGTTTGGTGCCAATGCAGAAATGTCTGCGAAGTAGAAATTCAACTCATTCATTGTTTTTGGAACTCCCGGATTCAGCACACTTACCCTGCTCAGCACTTCTGGGGTTCTACATTGCCAAACGTTTTTTAAAGATTTATTTAATTTTTTATTTATTTTTGACAGGCAGAGTTAGACAGTGAGGGAGAGAGACAGAGAGAAAGGTCTTCCTTCCGTTGGTTCACCCCCCCAAATGGCTGCTATGGCCGGCACAGCGCCGATCCAAAGTCAGGAACCAGGTGCTTCTCCTGGTCTCCCATGGGGTGCAGGGCCCAAGCACTTGGGCCATCCTTCACTGCACTCCCGGGCCACAGCAGAGAACTGGCCTGGAAGAGGGGCAACCGGGACAGAATCTGGAGCCCCGACCGGGACTAGAACCCGGTGTGCCGGCGCCGCAGGCGGAGGATTAGCCTAGTGAGCTGCGGCGCTGGCTTAAAGATTTCTTTGTATTTATTTTAAAGGCAGAGAGCAGGCGAGAGAGTTCTTCCATCAGCTGGTTCACCCCCTAAAAGGCCACCACAGCCAGGGCTGAGTGACACCAAAGCAAGGAGCCGGGACTCCATCCTGGTGGCTTGCGTGGGCTGCAGGGGCTGAAGTACTTGGGCCATCTTTCACTGCTTTGCTGGATGTAATTAGCGGGGAACTGGGTCAGAAGTGGAGTAGTTGGGACCCCCCCACCCCCACCCCCACCCAGTGCTCCTATAATGGATAGCCTGCCTGCGTTATAAGTAGCAGCTTAATCCACAACACCCACCTCTACATAGCCCAGACTTAGGGGAAAGAGATTCATAGGGAAGCTGATGGAAAATCGGCCTTCTTTTTTTTAAGGATTTATTTATTTATTTGAAAGTCAGAGTTACACGGAGAGAGAAGGAGAGGCAGAGAGAGAGAGAGGTCTTCCATCTGCTGGTTCACTCCCCAATTGGCCACAACAGCCGGGCCTGTGCTGATCTGAAGCCAGGAGCTGGGAGCTTCTTCCAGGTCCCCCACGTGGGTGCAGGGGCCCAAGCACTTGGGTCATCTGGTACTGCTTTCCCAGGCCATAGCAGAGAGCTGGACTGGAAGTGGAGCAGCCAGACTTGAACTGGTGCCCATATGGCTTTACCCGCTACGCCATCACGCCGGCCCCGAAAGTCAGCCTTCTTTAAGGATAGACTTTGACTGCATTTGCTATGCCTTTATAAATTTTTTTTTTTTACATCCGGGTTTATTCAGGACTCTCGAATTCTTACTGCAATAGAGGTTCACTCCCTGCTACCTTTTCTTCC